TAATTACATCTCAAAAGATTAAAAATGCCTTATATTTTTAAATAAAGAAATTATAAATTAACTTTTTAACAGCGTTTATAAATTAAACACTCCTAAGGGTTTTTTTTTATTATTTTAATGTCTTTCTTTTTTATTCATATAACATATCTGAATTGTTTTGCTCGACATTCGACTCCTTCAAAACCCTTTAAACTTTCTTGCTCTCCTTTCTCGCCTTCCATCTTCTCCTCTATGGCGAGAGTCCGCCCCTTGCCACGTCAAGAAGCCGTTTATTGATATACTTAGCCGTTCTTCAACAAATGCAGCTGTGCATCACCGATCTGCTGTTGCATCGCTGATCTGCCATCAACAATCGCAAGAGTTCAAGTTCCTATTGTGGGTCACTGATCCGTTGAGACCATCTCCTGTTGTTCATCGTCTAGCCTGTGTCGGTATCTATTCGAAATCAGCACTGCTGGAGCTGTTCAAAATTGCTTCCAACTGTGCGTCGCTGGAATCTGAATCTGCCTGCGCCGTCCCATCCAGCCTTGGTGCGTGTGGCAAGTTTTTTTAATTTATATAATTATATATTTATGTTGATAAGTTGTTATATATATATATATATATATATTTATGTTTAATAATAATATTGGTTTAATTTTTATTAATGTTAAACTACTCCCATGTTAGTTAGAATTGAACTTGAAATTAATTATAATTGTTATATGATTCAATTGTTAAGTAAATTAATTTTGATGTGCCTATTTGAAAATTTAATTTGTGTTAGTTAAGAAGTTGAAGTAGTTATTGTTGAATTATGACTATAGTAGTATTAAGTTAATAGATAAATCTAAGATAAATTACAATTGTTTGATAGGTTTTTTACTTTATGCTTTGAAATTTTTATTTGGATGAATTGATATACTCAATTATTAGATTTGATTATTAAGGATGCTTAACTTTTAGGGAGATTTTCATAAAAAAAAAAACATTCTAAGTGTTTGTCTTTTGAATTTTTATGACTATATTAGTGATATGGACCATAAATGGATGTCAACTAATCGATTGTTTAGAGAATATTTGAATGGGGTAGATGAGTTTATTGAGTTTGCATTTTCTCGTGATCAAAACTCTCGTGGAGTCATATGTCCTTGCTTAAAATGTTGCTATGGAAGATGAGTAAGGCTAATAGAATTGAAAAATCATTTAGTATGTAATGGGATTGATCCAACTTACACCTATTGGGCCATGCATGGAAAGACAAGGAATTACACTAGTGATTGGAGGGATAGTGTGAGATATACATCATTTGATTGTGATAGTGAGATATATGATGTTGACCATCTTGACGAGATGATTGATATGGTTGAAGAGGATCTTAAGGACTGTCCTGAGATGTTTGGAAGCTTGAAGAGTGATACCAATAAACTATTGTATCCTGGTTGTAAGAAATTGTTGTTCTAAAATATTACAACTTAAAAGCGGCTAATGGATATAGCGATAAGAGTTTTATAGATTTGCTTGAACTTTTGTATGAGATGTTGCCAGAGCACAATGAGCTTCCACCAAATACTTACAAAGCTAAAAAGGTGATATGTTCAATTAGAATGAGTTATGAGAAGATACATACATGTCCTAATGATTGTGTCCTCTTTTGAAATGAGTATTCAACTTCAAATAAGTGTCCAAAATGTGACGCATCATGGTATAAGAGAAATGGGTGCAGTCCAACTAAAACATTATGGTATTTTCTAATCATACCAAGATTTAGATGCCTATACAATATTGTAGAAGATGCCAAGCACTTAATATGGCATGTTGACGAGAGAATTAATGATGGAAAGCTATTGTACCCTATAGATTCTCCTCAATGGAAAAAGCTTAATCTTATATATCTCGAATTCGAGGATGAACATAGAAACCTATGCCTTGCATAAGCCACTGATGTAATGAACTCTCACGGCATGCAAAGTAGTACTCATAGTACATGGTCGGTGATTTTGATAATCTATAATGTCCCTCCATGGTTGCGCATGAAGCACAAATTTATGATGTTGTTATTGTTAATTTCTAGGTCTCGACAACCAAAAAATGATATAGATGTGTATTTGATTCCACTAGTTGAAGATTTGAAGCTATTATGGGAGATGGGTGTGGAGGTCTGTGATGAGTACAACATTTCATCTTATGAGCTATGTTATTTGGTAGTATAAATGACTTTCCTGCCTATAGCAACTTGTCAGGTTATAGTATCAAAGGACGAGATGCGTGCCCTATATGTGAAGAGCACACTTGTTCAATACGATTGGAACATTGTAGGAAGAATGTCTTCATAGGTCATCATTGATTTTTGCCTCAAGTACATTATTATCAATGGTTGAAAAAGGCCTTTAATGGCCACTAAGAAAAGGGTAGAGTTCCTTTCCCTTTAACCAGTAAGTAGCTCTTTGAAAAGTTTAAAGATTTGATTATCGAATTTGGAAAACCATTTGCAAGTAAAATTGTTACAAATGGCTAGAAAAAGAAGTTCATCTTCTTTGAATTGCCATACTAGAAGTCTCTAGATGTAAGGCAATTTCTTGATACAATGCATTTGAAAAGAATGTTTGTGACAATGTCATTGGCACATTACTCCAAATTTCAAGAAAAAGCAAGGATGGTATCAATGCATGGATGGATTTAGTTAGTATAGGGTTAAGAGAAGAGTTGACACTAGAGAGCATGGGAAAACACACTTTTGTACCTCCAGCAGCTCACACTCTATCTAGAAAGAAAAATTTGGCCTTCTATGAATTATTGCATGGAGTTCAAGTGCTAAAAGGATATGCTTCAAATATTAGTAGTCTCATATCCATGAAAGATCTCAAGCTAGTGGGCATGAAGACTCATGACTACCATATTATTATGGAAAATTTACTACTAGTAGGTATACACTCCATTTTGCCAAAGGTGCGTGGAACTATTACCAAACTTTGTTTCTTCTTTAAGGTAATTTGTAGCAAGGTGATTGACCTAGAGAAATTGCCTAAATTGGAGCATGAAATAGCTAAGATCTTATGTGGGCTTGAAATATGTTTTTCACCTTTGTTCTTTGATATCATAGTTCACTTGTCATTTCACTTGGTTAGAGAGACAAAGTTGTGTGGCCTAACTTATTTGAAATGGATGTACCCAATAGAGTGTTACTTGAAAGTATTAAAAAGATATGTGAAAAATCAAAGTCGACCTGAGGGCTATATTGTTAAGAGGTACATCGTGGAGGAAGCAGTTGAATTGTGCATTGGATATCTCTCTAATGTGGATGCCATTAGGTTACAAAAGTACTTGAAGGATATCACAGGTGAATGTGGTGGAATCATTCAAAAAACACTCATTAGCATAGATAAGACACAGTAGGAACAAGTTCACTTATATGTTTTACACAACACTGATGAGGTTGAGCCATGTTTTGAAGAACACATGGCAATAGTTAGGAATCAAAATAAGGGTAAGTATGAAAGTTGGCTAATAACATATCACAACCAACATTTTATAGATTAGTTTAGAGATTGCATCTCTAAGGAGTCCCAACCATAAAAAAGGTTGAGATTCTTGGCCAAGGGTCAGTTATATAATTAATGGCATTACATTCTACACGAAAAGTCAAGATGGTCAGAGCACTATACAAAATAGTGGTCTAACGCTTGTAGCTTGATCAATGCATGTCTCTAGTTCTAAAGACAATAATCTTATCTATGCTGATAAAGCACATTCGAGAGTTAAATTATATTAAGTTTCATTTATAATGATATCTATCCTAAGGTTTTAAGTTCTCTATATATTTGTTATCTATATATTCATAAAATATATCTCACATTTTTTAAAAAGATTAATATATGTATTTTTTAGGGTGAGTCACAATGTCAATTATGGTTAGAGTTACCACATTATCGTGTTATGGCACTCGGATCTGTGTATAATGATAATAGTGATACTGTGCATAACAGACCGATGCTCGTTAATCATTTAAAGGTGATTATAAGTATACCAATAGAAGATGATGCTGAGCTGCCATTGCAAATAGAAGATGAGGATATATTCATAGTTTCAGATGCCGTTGGCACTTACGTGGCTTAGCTTATAAAGTTCATTAAGTTACATGTATGAAAATAGGCTATTCTTTAAAATTTCATTCATGTTTACTTTTGACTTTACTAATTAATTTTACATTTTACAAAGCTTAACATTTAAAGAAATAGTATAGAAGCCAATCAAATCAAAAGGAAAATTGTCAAAAGAATCTACCTCTGTAACTAAGGTAAGGAAAACCGATATAGAATCTGCTCAGTTAAAATATCCTAATCAAAATGCACTTAGAGTGATTATGTGGACATTTAAAAATAGTGCCATTCGTGAAATAGAAATGGATGAAGGGATTTATGGTGAAACGATTATCGAAAGATTAGGAGAGGAAAATATTAATGAAATTCTGACAAATGATTGACTATCTTATAAGCTTTATTACTTATTGTGATATTTATTTATTATTTATAATGATATTTTTTGTTCATTCATTATAGGTATTTGTATTATACATTTGTTATGTTAGGCTCATTGATGATAAAAATTTATTTATTAGCTCGCACAACATAAGTACATACAACATTGATCATCATTCTCAAAAAAACTATTGATGCATTCAAGGCTGAAGAGAAGAAGAACATGTTATTTTTAGCTCCTCAGAATTCAGGGTAAGCTATTATCTATCTTTAAATCTGGTTGACATTTGATTAAATACAATATTTTACATTTTTAGGCAACATTGGGTGCTTGTTTATATCAATCCATTCATCCCTACAATTTATTATCTTGACTCATTAAAAGATAATGAGCTCAAGAATTACGGATATATGAGGATATTATTTAATCAGTAAGTATTCTATTCTGTATTCTATATACATGTTTATTATAACAATTAGTCATAATTTCAGTTGGTATGTTTAATTTTGATAGAGCCGTAACATGTTACTAAGGTGGTGAAGGTCTCCCTCTAAATACTCAAAAGAGTTATCCTGCTGAGTATTATACATGGAGCAAAATAAAGGTTTGTATTATTTGCTCAATAAAACATGTTTGGTATATATGTATACAAATGATTGTTTGATCTATATTTTATATCTTTTATTCTGAATATGCTATTTTGGATTGATGTAGAATTGCTGGGCAATTCTAGAACATCTAAGTTATAGGAGAGGTTCTGCTGGATTTTCTTTAAATTTGATTTGTAGATCTAAATTATATATAATTTGATCTCTAAAATGATAATTAGTTCCATTTTGTTTCTAACATGTTTGGATAGTTACATCTTATTTTATTGTTTATATAGGTACCTACATAAATAAAAAATTAGGAGTGTGGTTACTATGTCTTGAGGTTTATGAAAGAAGTAATCACACAATAAGAGTTAATTATTCTGCTAAATGTAAGTGTTTCAAAATTAAATTCATGTCTTACATATAACATAGATATTAAATTATTATATGTTGATTTTTCTTATAGTATTTTGCTAGAGCAAGATCTTTGCATTTAACCATGGAGCAAATAGAAGATGTAATTGAGGAGTGGTCAGAATATATAATTAGTTGTTTGTGATAGATAACATCTAATATTAGAAAAATATCAAAAAGTTTTATTTGTAAGATAGACTAACTAGAGATTAAATAAGCTAACAAGTTTGTTCTAATTTTAAGTTCTTTAGTTGTATTTAACTTTCACTATTTAACTATTTTGTTTCTAGGTTGATTTTTTTGATATTGGTATGGAATATTTGTCATTTGTAATGATCAGTAAAAGATATACAAAAGGATAATTTGAAAAAAAAAAAGATATGGGAGAGCTCTTTTAGACTAACATATAAGAGCACTCTTTTGAAGAGCACTCTTGTAGAAAGCAACTTACAAGAGTGTTATTAATAAGAGTGCTCCTGTATCATAACCTACAGAGCACTCCCATATGATAGGACTTACAAGAGCGCTCTTATTAAGAGCGCTCTTGTATGAAACATATGGGAGTGCATTTTTAAAGAGCGCTCTCGTATGTTTATGGGGTTTTTAGATTTTATAAATGCTTAAAGCCTACAGGAGTGCTTAATTTGAAAGCGCTCCTGTATGTATGACCTATAAGAGCACCTTTAAAGCACTCCCATATATATAGGAGTGTTGGATATGGGAATGCTTTTGAAGTGCTCCCATTGGCCAAAATTAAGCGCTCCTATAAGCTATTTTTTGTAATAGTGAATTGTTTAGACATTGATGAATTTTTGAAAGATATAGATCACTCCTCTAATGTATTCTTGATGATGATGAAATATCTTCTATTCTTGATTTTATGGGCTAAGATGAGGACTCTCCTTCTTTTGATATAGGTGTTTTTCTCTACTCGAGCTTAATGTTCTTATGATTCCCAAGCTATTGAAGGAAATTTTTGCACTTGGAAGTTAAGAGGAAAATTTCTTAAAAATTTTGCACTTATACTTATTTCATGCATTCATTTTGAACTTAAATTGTCATATCTACACTTATTTCATGCATTCATTTTGAACTTAAATTGTCATATCTTGAATCTAGGCTTATATTGAGAACAATATATGATTTAAATGTGAGGGAGAGATAAAAATATTTTTGTTTTGTTTTCTTTTGGTTTTCAAAAAGTTTTGAAAAAAATATTATTTTGTTTTTTTAAGTTTCTTTAATGATTGAGTCTTTGTTGAATCCTTGTGGTAACTTTTCTGACACTTTTAGCTTCAAATATTGAAGGACTAAAAGATCGATAGGCCACACTTTCATGGTTTGTATTTGTACTAGAATTCATAATCAAATGAGCTTTTACCTTTTTGTTTCACATGAGATTTATGATCTTGTTGAACTCATCTTAGGAAACTTGGGTTATCTTTTAACAAATGTGCCACCTAACCAAACTCCGCACCAAACAATATCTTTTGCCATTGGCACGCTGGGCGAGTCATGTGTGACCTCTCCCAAAATCCACTTGATATTAGAAGGGTTAACACAATCACAATATTGTATAACAAACCAGAATCAATAAATTATTTAAAATGTATGGAACCCAAGACTTATTTGTTAAAACCATTTGAAATTAGTCAAATATTAGATGGTATAGAGTGGAAAACAATCTCATGCATTCATTACTTACAATGCAAGATTCAAGTCAAGGAAATAAATTTAGAACAGGGGCAGTGTGCTGTGATGGCATGTGGCACAAAGCCACGGGCTCCCTATTTGTGCCATGCACTGTGGCATGCAGCACTATGCTTAGTGGCGCACATGACGTTTTCTGCTATCATATGACAATTGACAAAAATGAACTTCTAGCATGCATCAATTTCACATACGACGTCTGATTGGAATAATTCAAGTACCCACTTGAAGCTTATTTCATAAGCTAACTAATGATATATTTGGTCACGATCCAATGGTCCAATCTAGATTTGGACACTTAGGTATAAAAAGTTACTTTTCTTGAAAATTTCAAGTACCAAAGTGTTCAAATTACACACGTTGTCTCATTAGGCCATTTTGGGCTTAGAACCAAGTCTAAAAGGACTATATACACTTGATTAAACAATAATGTCATCATATAGACACACATATCAAAATCGGGCCACTAAATCATCCTTTTACACAAAAAGGGGCTGCTTTTCGCAACTAGACTAATTTACACACTTTTGACCAATTAATTCATAATTTCACCACTATCAATATATTCATACACACATAAAGCAATCTTAGCCTATAATCACATTTCACCATTTTTTCACACAATTAGGTTAAGATTCACAAGGCTAACATATTTCACCACCAAATATACATATGGATCCTATGGCAACTTATTCGTTTACAAATGTACAACAAAACTAAATTCATTACATAAACTCTTAATCACATGGCAGTAGCACCGTTACACCAGTCCGATGTCTTTCCCTTTGTCTGGTTTACTACTTTGGCCATAAAAATGTAACCATGGGATGAGATAATTATCTTAATAATAGAATAACTTACTACTACTAACTATCACATGTAACTGTAAACAAGTATTGCATATATGTACTCAAATAAAGCATATAATATAATTTCATTTCATCAAACCATTTTCACAGCCAATCATCACCACTAGCATGATCAACTATCATCTGATTCTCCATATCACTCCGATTGAAACCACAGGCTCTTATTAGGCCAATACACACTCATTAACCTGAGTGCACCTTCAGTAGTAGAATCACCTAACAAAAAGCATTTTGTTCCACTTTGGGACTATGATTTCCCCCATCACTCGTAATGATTAGGGTGTCATTACTCTAACACTGCACCTCATAGATGCTAAGTAGCTCTAATCTCTAATACTACAACTTACATGTGCACTAAGGAGATAATCTCCAACACTGCATCTCAATAGATACTAAAGAGATGAAATTTTTCAACATCACACCCCGTCAGGCACTAAGGAGAATAATGCCATATGGACTTCTCATTACTTCTCCTTGTGGGTGAACTCCCAACCCCTATGATCATGCTCGTATACAAACCACTAAATCCATATGAGTAGTTATATAATCATATAATTTTCACAAACTCATTTATTTGAAATCCTTTTTATGCCACAATCACACGTTTACTCAAAAAATGCAAATTTTAAAACAATTTCATGTAACAATACTCATACTCATAAATAGTTAGGGCAGATAATCATATAGAGTAAATTATTCGATTACCTCAACCCTTCTATCACAAGAAAAGGGTTATCAATGGATTATTCCTAAAAGTCTATGTCCCTACACGTCTTATCTCTCAAGTTACACACGCAACATGGCAATCTACACATGATTAGCACTATTTAGTCAATCAATCGAATTGATCACATGCACTAATTATCATTTACAACCATATTTAACTATTCTTTCCCTTTCACTTAGTCAATCTAGGCTCATTAAATTCCAACTACCCTTTTCCACCACTACTATCAATCCCAACACACTTTCTCCTCAATTCTCATTCTCATTTCTTTCTAGTTTAGGGTCACATTGAGCGTACAATGTCAACTTTATTGGTTAACTCTAAACTAGTTACAAAATCTTAATTTGGTTCCCAAGAACCTTTTCATTGAAAAAGGGCAAGAAACAAACCCTTTAAAACTTTCTGATTCAATTTCTCTATTACTTAAATTGAGAGAAATTTGTATAGAATTAGAGCTAAGGGCAATACAAAACTTACCTGGTAAGCTATTAGTTGGAAATGTCTCCCAAGGCTTCAAAATTAGTTGCCCTAGCAGAGCAAAGGTTTCTATCATCTTCTCTATGCCCTTCTTCCTCTTCTCTCTTTGATTTTCACGACCTGACCATATCACATTAAACAATTTTTTGTGCTGTATGTCATAGCGCAGGCAGGAATAGCCGTGGTGCAGGGCACAGTGAGGAAAATCTTCATCACGTGCATCCGCTTCACTTCGCAACATGATCCTTTCACTTGTATCTATTCATTTAACATTCCAAGGAGTCAACACCAAATTGTCATCTAAAATACTAATCACTCTCTTATTACTAATTTACCTTCAATTAGCAATTAGTTTCAAAATTAGAAATTTAGGATTTTATACCTTGGGTCCAAAAAGAGGGGCATTGCCCCACATCTGATTCACGAAATAAATAAAATAACATTAAAAGTAATTGTATTTTACTTTTGTCCTTTTTAGCTCACACTTAATCCTACACCTTTCAAGTCATTTCACAAAGTTGGATTAAAGTCGAGCTCAACAAGGTATTCTTTCCCTGTTGATTCTACCAAGCCCGTTCCCTTGGCTATGGTTTCACTTGATAGTACACAAGGACAATAGGAATCTCGTTAACCCATTCATGTACATCACTAATTAGATGACAAGGCATTTAGCTACCTTAAGAGAGTCATAGTTACTCCCACCGTTTGCCCACACTTGTTGAATTTCTTCACTTTGACATTCAAAGCATTAGGCAAATATCACATTGCGTCTATAAATTCTTGGGTTAGACTAGCAAGGTTACCCTTACTAATT